TTTTCATTTATTTTGTCATTTTGTTCTTGTATTGTGTTTTGAAATCATTCTAGGGTTTTCTCTGTGTTTTCCTTGATCTGTCTCTCAATTCATTGAGGGTACCTAAATATAATTCTTTTGAATTCCTTATCAGGGAGTTCCAGTGCTGTGTCTTCCTCAGGGGTGTGTTTTGGGTCTGTATCCTGGTCCTTTGTTTCTCCTGCTTTATCTTGCTTCTTTGTGTGGACTGTGATGCTCTGTTTGTGTTTATATTTAATTGGTGATTGTATGTTGGAGTGACTTGCCCATGATTTTCGTTTTCTTTATTTTGTTTGTATGTCATCTATGCAAGCAGGGTATTATGCTGTGCTCCTCTATTCACTAGTTGATAGCACTTACACACTCACCTCCTTTCTCCTTTACTGTTGTTGTCAGTCTCTTGTATGTCCCTGCCGACCTTGGCAAACAGAGCCTATTCTTAGGTCCCTGGAATCCGAGTGAGAATGCTATCACTTTAAAATCTAAAATAATGTCCTCCAAGTTCATCCAGATCATGTGGTGGTTTGCAGACCCTACATGGTTACCACTTGTAAAGATTCAAAATGGGTGTGCCCTCAGTCACTTTAAATATCCAAAATGGCTGCTGTGTGTAAACAGTCATAATGGCTATACCCCTCAGACAGTGGAAAGTCCACAGCTCAGGTTGTCTGTGTCCTTGCTGTTTCCCTTCCTAGTCATAGGCCATCAGCACAGTTTTTCCCTGCAGCCCTTGGTGACCAGGGCTGATCTTTAGGTCAATTCTCAGGTCCCAGCACCACTTGGAAATATTCAGGCTGTTGGTCCCATCAGAGTAGCTACAGTCCACAGCTCCGACCATCTCTGCACTCACTGTTTTTGTTCAGGTTTTTCCACTAGTTGGTGCCTAATCCACTTCTGTATAGTTCCTTCCAAAGCTCAAGGCTCCAGGAGTATCTTCTGTATCTCTGTCAATTGGTTTCTCTTTTCTTTGTGGAAGAGGGTCTGTGTCGCTTGTCTGCCTATTCCTCCATCTCACTGGAAGCCCTCTTTGCAAGCTTTTAAGACCCCAGTTGCTACTCATCAAAGCAGGATGTAGAACAATGTTTTGTATAGTATGTTATGCCAATTGAGCTTGGTGTCTCCTGCGACCATGGTCCCAAGCCCACAGGTCCAACTACTTGCTCCCTTCGGGTAGCTGGCTGTGGCCAAGAAGCCACCACAACTGGAAGACCTTTTATTCCTTGAGAGACGGGAGCTTCTGGAACAGGCTTTCTCAGCTGGGCTTCCCCTTCTGGGGCCCTGGGGTGCAGGAGAGATTGGCGTGCTTCCTTTCTCGGTTCTCCCACGGGCACGAGGTGGCTTTCTAGATGCTGGGGCAGATGGGTTCAGTACATCTGGTGATGCCTGAGGGCTTGCTTCCTCTCGAACCCTGGCTGAGGAAGGCCGCAGTGGCGGGGCTGACTTACATTTCAGCAGGCTCCCTGGTAGCCGTGTGATGAAGAGTCCCTGGGCCTGGAGGTGGGGAGGCCGGCTAGGCCACGGCAGGATCCTGGGAGCTGGTTCATGGTGGTGGGGATGAAGGTGTGGCAAGAGTGTGGGTCTGGGTGCATTTTGAAGGTCATGCCCACAGGATTTGTTGGTCCGTGACAGGGTCGCATGTGAGTTGTGAGGGAGGGAAAAGCAAAAATGCCAGAAGGTTTCTGGTGTCAGCAGCTGAAAGGATGGAGCTGTCATTCTTTGGTCAGGGAGTGTTTCTGTGGTGTCCCCAGTGAGCACCCTTCTGTGTGCCGGACAGAGAACAGTGACCGCAGCGGATGGAAACCCTTCCTCTGCGGAGCTGATGTTCTCTGAGTGCGTCACTTGCCTTAAGTGTACGGGATAAAGGTGGTGGAAGGGGTTAGCCAGCTGGCAGACAGTACTCTGGAAGGACAGGGCCCCTTCTCAAGGACGGGGCATCAAGGTTCCACAGAACTCCCCGTGGCCACTTCATAGGTAGCCCTCACTGTCTCGTGTGGTGCCCGTCTGTCTGCTCTCAGTTTGGGAAGGACCTGACCCTGGCTCGGCGCCGGCTGTGCGGGCGAGGCCAGGTCGGAGGGCTTTACTGGGGGACCAGGAGGTCGGCCAGGGGCGGATTGCCTCCTCCCGACCCCCAGCCTGTCTCCCTCGGCAGCGGCTGATTGACAAGACCAAGGTGACCTACCTGAAGTGGCTGCCGGAGTCGGAGAGCCTCTTCCTGGCGTCGCACGCCAGCGGCCACCTGTACCTGTACAACGTCGGCCACCCCTGCGCCTCGGCCCCGCCCCAGTACAGCCTGCTGAAGCAGGGTGAGGGCTTCGCGGTCTACGCTGCCAAGAGCAAGGCGCCCCGCAACCCGCTGGCCAAGTGGGCCGTGGGCGAGGGGCCGCTCAATGAGTTTGCCTTCTCGCCCGACGGCCGGCACCTGGCCTGCGTCAGCCAGGACGGCTGCCTGCGCGTCTTCCACTTCGACTCCATGCTCCTCCGCGGGCTCATGAAGAGCTACTTTGGGGGCCTGCTCTGTGTGTGCTGGAGCCCCGACGGGCGCTACGTGGTGACCGGTGGCGAAGATGACCTGGTCACCGTGTGGTCCTTCACCGAGGGCCGCGTGGTGGCCCGCGGCCACGGCCACAAGTCCTGGGTCAACGCCGTGGCCTTCGACCCCTACACCACCCGAGCTGAGGAGGTGGCGGCGGCCGCTGGCGGTGACGGGGACCGGAGCGGGGAGGAGGAGGAGGAGGAGCCGGAGGCCGCCAGCACAGGCCCCGCCGGGGGTGCTGCTCTCTCCCCGCTGCCCAAAGCCGCCTCGGTCACTTACCGCTTTGGCTCGGCCGGCCAGGACACGCAGTTCTGCCTGTGGGACCTCACCGAAGACGTCCTTACCCCACACCCGCCCCTGGCCCGCACTCGCACCCTCCCGGGCACCCCTGGCACCACGCCGCCAGCCACCAGCAGCTCTCGAGGCGGTGAACCCGGCCCGGGCGCCCTGCCCCGCTCGCTGTCCCGCTCCAACAGCCTCCCCCACCCGGCGGGCGGCGGCAAGGCGGGTGGCGCCGGCACG